ACTGAAAAAGACAGTGGCTTGACATTGAACTAACTGTAACCATGACCAAAACCTTAACCTTAAACATAGTAACCTCCCCTGTGGCAAAGTAATATGTAACAAATGGGCAACTTTATGGCTATGTTATGAATAAATGTGCCTTAACTTTTGGGGGGTTATGACAGAAAAAAATGTAATCCAGTATGCTCTGAGAATACAGTTGTCTTACATGTACAGTGTGGTAAGTAGGTACACTAAGGTACTTCACTGAACGTACATGGACAAAGATGAGGAATCTGCCGTGGACATAAATATGGAAAGTGCCTCACTGCTCGCAACACACATTAAACTGTATCCTACATATGCACACACACTAGGATGAGGAACTCACATCCAACAAACCATAATCAAGTACTCATGCTGCATATGTGGCCGTGCCAAATGTGGACTGATGCAATTAGTTAGGCTGCACAATTTTTCAATCCTTCAAAAATTGACACAAATGGCCCTAAAATCAGCCCAAATGCCTAGAAAAAAACACTCCTCAATAGCATGAAAAATAAAGTAAATGAAGCATTTCCGTATCAAAAATCTGATTTCACAAAATCTCTGAGAAGCAAGTCATCTTTCTGAAACAGTATTCTTATAAATTCAATAAAAGACTAGACAGAACAGACTCACACGATCTGACATCACCTGAATGGCTTCAGTTTTTGGGTGCAAAAATCCATTTGATTGTGATTATAATAACGGTCATTTTAGACATAGGAGTAAAACTGCAAAACTGGTGTTCCCTGATTCGGAGCGCTGCTCATTCACATCATCACACGTGAATGCAAATGGGCTCTCTGTGGAACCACAAGAGTCTCAGGTTTCCCACCGTGTTTTATCTATGAAAGGTCCACAGCAATAAAATAAAGAAGTCACAGGTATTTTCATTTTGCATTATGTCCAGCACCACTGACATTCAAAATCAAATAAATAAATGGCTTTATGTCTAAAGGCACTGTAGGCTAATCATTAGCCTTCATAAATTAGCAACAGTAGGCCTATTAGTATTCCGAATTAAACTGAACTGAAAATTAGCTGCACAATAAGGAAGCCTTCCAAAACTATCAAAGTAAGAGTCATCAACAAGATTTCTATGATTTCTGCTGTCTTTATTGACTCACTGATGCTCTTTAAAATAAAAGAAATTATAACTGAGAGCTTTATATTTTATAAAACTACAAAAGCAGCCAGTGAACTGCAGTCACTACCATACATTACACTGACATTACATTTCCTTTTCATTTGATGAACCTATCATTTTTATGTTCAGGCTCTAATCTGTGAACATGGTGGAGTGCTATCTGACAAACATTACAGCTGCATAGCAGTAATACGTGGGAGCCTGCATGGGACCCTGAACGTTTAGCCAGAAGTTCAACATAGCTACCATTGTTGGTTTTAAAGTGTTATGGGTTGGGTTTTATTACTTCTGTCAAAACATCAGAAGCTGTTGAGCCAGGCCAAGTTCATGACTGGGAGACCATCTAATAAGGGGCATTTAACACAAAGATCAATAGGATATCTGGCAATTGGAATACAGAGGCCAAAAAGAGTGACAGAGTGACAGAGAGGGGTGTATATGAGAGGAAAACTCTCAGAGCTTGTGTGCATTTGTATAGTGTGGTGGGTTAAGAGAGGTTGGGGGTCAGTTTGTGCAAACTCAGCAAAAAATAAATAAAAAGGGAAAAAAGCAGGTCATAAAAAAACAGTATGGCACTAACTTTCATTTTATTGACTTGATAAGGCAGAGGGACTCAGTATCTAAAATAGTTTTAGAAAATCAATAAGGTGTGGAAGTTGCGGTCAGAATCAGTGTGGATTCAACACCTTCGACTTAACGGACTGTGTGTAAAGCTGCTACAGGTTTCTATAATAATTAGGCCATATTTCTTTAGGTTTCTGCGGAGACGTTATTTCGCGGCGTGCAGTGGAGCCAGGCTTTCTATAGGTGTGTGTGTGTGTGTGTGTGTGTGTGTGTGTGTGTGTGTGTGTGTGTGTGTGTGAATTTGTCTCGCCTGTACACGGAAAAATACCGGGGGAAAAAAATGTGCACTCACTCAACTGGAAGTCTTAATTGATCCAAAGCCAATTTAAAGCTACATATGGACCCAGCAGAATCCCACAATAAAACAGCCGCAATGTGTTAAACTTTTCACACACAAACAGCCCTCTGCAGCGGACAAAAACACAGGCAGATACGGACTATGGCAGTTTTAAACTCAATGCAACATTCATTTTCACGTTGGTTCTCCATTTTCTACTACGGCCTGCATCGATTTTTTGTTATTTTATGATAACAAGAGGCCAAGTCTCATATCAAAGCCGTTATCTTCGATAAAATGAGATGTGGTGTTAGGGCTCATGATGTGTCGAAGATTTCTTCACTTAGCCTATTAAAAAAACCTGGGAATATACTATTAAATATTTTAAATACATAACGATCAATAAACTACTGTATAGAGAGAGCACTGGTCCAAATACAATTAAATATATAGCCCTGACAAAAACAATCCAACGTATAGCTTTTGATGTTACATTTAACTCTATCCAATAATATATATTAGAATATTAACGTGTGGGGAACCGAGAAAGAAAAGTGATATTTCTTTAAAAAAACAAACGTAAAAACCCATGAGAATCCAAACATGCTAACACTCCCTTAATCCTGGCCCTCAAAACATTGTGTAAACAAACCAGAACGACTGCACACTAATCAATGCAAGCCCCTATTAACACACACATATTCATATTCTACATGTGGGACTGCAGAGTCGCTCGTTTCTATAGAGTCGTTGCCTTCAGCGTGTTGTCTGTGTGTGCAATCTGCCGAGAGAAGGAAATATACACGAGGGTTAAAAATAAATGATAAAGCAGCTGGTGAATTTTGCTGTGGGCCTTCTGTATTCAGCTACGGGAGAGTACTATTTTACCTAAGCGGCAGAAAAAGAAAAAAAAAGTAGGGTGGAATATACTCCCACGCGTCGCATTCAAAAGTTGTGGGCCTGCATGTTTTGAATGTTAAGAAGAACACGATTTTTTTTTTTTTCATGCCTGCTGTCTGCTCAGTTTTTCTCTCCTACCGCTGCAACACAACAAATCTGAGGCCTCTGTGCTGCAGAGGCTTCTAGTGGTCCGATGTGCTACAAAGCCAGGTATTTGTGTTCATTAGCACCCGGATCAACAGACTATCAAGGCTGTTTAGAGATCAAGACCAAGTGCAATTACTGGCAAGAAGCAGGATCCTCGACATGTTTAAGTATTTTCACAAAATAGCCCAATTAGCGTTTTGCTTTTCGTTCCTTTTCTTTTTCCCCCTCCTTTCCCTTTTCTGTATTTGTCTTAAACTTATATGGGAACTTGATCCATGTGCGCCAATCATGGTGAAGGAGTTCATAAGGTAATAACATGGCTGCAAAAAAACAATGTAGGTAATTATTTTTATTCGTATTATTTATTTGACTGTATTTGAGCTGAAACCCCTACTGGACATTTATTAATAATCTTATCAGATGTAATAGTTAGCATTTTTAAAAATGTAGCCTACAAAGAAGCGCAAGCTAATTTAAAGTCAACATGTTTCAGGTTTGTTAAAAGCTGTGCACAAATATTTATTTCACTTAACGTCTAAAATGTAAATTTGGCAGTGTTAAAAAAAAAGCCTGAATTATGTCTAGGTATAAAGATCGAGGTTCACTTTGAACGTGGCACTGGCAAAGTTACAACGCGTTTAAAGGCCTGTAAACATGCAGCCAAGCATGGCCAACATAAAAACAATAATAGGTATATTTTAAAACAATTATTTTTAATAAGCTTGCCCTACAAAAATAAATACAAGGCCAACTGTCTCCTGTGTTTTAGTTTTGCATTTTCACAAAACTCCAAATCGAAACTCACTGTGCATAAAATATAACAAACATATTAAGACAAAACAAAAGCAAATGCGAACAGGCCTACATAAACCGTTAACCTGTTAAGCAATAGTCTTTCAAATGAATAAAAATGTGAATAAAAAGCAGATTGACCCACATAATTAGCAGAAGAAAAAATTCATGCAGGAATAAAAAAAGACGGTATCAATAAACATAAATCAACCCACCAACAATAAACCAAAGTCAAACAATAAACATGGTCCATTTCCAACAACAACGAGCTCATGTTCACAAAACTGAATACATGAATTTTCCGTGTGACGCGAGCAGCAGTCCAATAAGTGGTAGTAGTATGGGCGCTTTCTTGCACAAGACGCATTATTGATTGGCATTCCCTGGAGGAGGAACAAGTCTGCAGCAGCCGGAGGGCCCGGGGACAAAAAAAGTTGCCGGAAAGCGATATCTTCCGAGGTTCAGGCAGGACCGACTCAATAAAATCTGCATTAAAATATTGCTCTTTCTGTCGAAATTCACATCTTGGCGTCTCCGCTTGCAGGCGAGTGAACGAGTGCGCTCAGCTCGGCATGAGCTCTGTAGCAGCTCGCAGCAGAGCAGTGCCACAGCGCCCACTATTTCAAAAGCCGGGAATATAATTTCACAAGACCTGGTACGGCTCTATAAAAAAGTTACTATCCATTTCGACAACTTTCCTGGTAACTTTCAGGAAACGAGTCTGAGCCTCCACCGAACCTCCGACATCCGAAGAGAGCAAATTACAAGATCGAGCTCAGATTTGGACGGCAATGTTTATCTCTGGCTTTGTAGGAGTGTAATCAACTAAAGCACCAGCGGCGTTTCTCATCACACATTAAACTTTTTGACACCGGGAACCAACGAAGCCAAGACCGCAGCATGCAGGGGGAACGAGACCGAGTAACCGGAGCGGGACACATTTTTAGCAGAAAAGTTAACTCCGGACAAAGAGTGGCCCCCCTCCTCTCTTAAGGATATGACAAATGACAAGGACACATTGGACATCTACACCCAGGAGTTTGGTGCCGGCGGCTGAAAGCGATAAGAAGATGAAAAAGGAAGACCTACTTTTGGCCAGTTTTCTCGCCCTCGCCTTGGATCTCATCTTGTCGGCTTGTAGATTCCTCTCGTCGTCCTCCGTGAGCCCAGAAGCAGCAACAACACTATCTTCATCTCACCAGCATTGTCAGTTTGGACACCTTCGCACATGCGCACAGGCCATTCAATCTGACACCCTCGCCGGGGCCAAAAAACTTTCCAATGTATTCATCATCATCACTTTTTTTTGTCCTATCGTCTCCCCTTTAGATCACTTATCTCTTCCCCTCCTCCTCTTCCTCCTCCTCCTGCTCTCCCCTCACCATCTCACCTTCCTTCCCTCCCCCCTAACCATCCCCTTACCCTCGTCCCCCTCTCACCCCGACAACCCCCACCCACCCCATTCAGCTCCTGCCAGCGCCTTCCTGGATTTTTACCCCTTTAACAGCAACAACTTGGTTTTCTCCAACCGGCGGTGGACACAGTGAGTATGGTGAGGTCAAGGTCATATATTAATAATGGAAATGCGCCCAAGCTGTTATAATTTTTATTACTATTATTATATTTGTTAATTTTCTAACTAATATTTATTTATTTTTTGGCATAAAAAGTTACAATTATTTTCTTTTTACATAATTTACATAAACTTTGTATGTAGGCTGTTGGCGCAGCTGCTGTGCCAAAAAGTGCTCCAATTGCAGAGGTTATTTTTAACTTCATTAATGCACATGCAGGCTAGGTAGGTGCAAGTCTCGATTGCAGTTGTACAGGCTATGATTTGGTTGAGAGAGAGAGAGAGAGTGAGAGAGAGAGAGAGAGAGAGAGAGAGAGTGTGTGTGTGTGTGTGTGTGTGTGTGTGTGTGTGTGTGTGTGTGTGTGTGTGTGTGTAAACCTTGTTGCCCTCAGGACGTGCAGCGGCCAGCAGCTGTTTGACGCATGCATGGAGCCTCCACCAGCAGAGTCCAGACCGAGAAAAAGTCCAGGCTTCTTTCTCGCCCCCCCTTTTTCTCCAACGTGTACACATTTGTAACAATCGTATTTTGCAGCAGTTATTTCTCGGAGAAGTGTTTGTGTTCACTGTTTGCGCCACTGTGCCGCTAAGCGCAGGTCACCTGAACCAAGGTGGATGCAGACTTTCTCTTTGTAAGTATGAGTTTTGCCTTGCACCTGTTTGTTTGTTTTCTGCAGGCGAGAGGAGACCGGCTTTGCGTTAGTCCATGCATCCAGAAGTCTGATGTAGCGGGAAGGTTTACAAGGTAATTTGTAGATTCATATTTACTAAAATATGCTAAACAACAGAAACACCGGACAAATAATCCTGCAGTATTATTTTTATTTACTTGTTAATATTGAGGATGCAATTTAGGACATTTACTGTTTTTTATATGAGGTAAATCGGTAACCTTTATATTACGTACAACAATGTATGAATCTTTTTGCAACCATTTTGCATGATTTCAAATTTATAATATATTTTATGGCTGCCAAAGTGTTTATTATTATTATGTTAATCATTAATGTTATTTTTATTATTATAATAATTATGTCATTAAATAATATCGTATTGATAAATTAACGCTGTATATTTTTGTTTTTGAAGATATAAAATAGTAGCCTAATTTTTTATTTTTTATTTTTTAAACAAAACGAGGCTTGATAGAAGTTGTGGGCATTCAAATTTATTTGTGTTTTATTATTTATAAAAGTAATAAAGTCCAGTTTGACTGATTGTGGTAGGCTGGTCGTCATATTCATGTGCTGCCTGGGCCTTTAGCCTACATGTCATATGGGAATGGTTTCTGTCTAGTTTGGCTGAATAAAGGCGGCTCTATGTTGGAGCCTATTAAAGATCGGTGGTGATGGAGCAACTGCAGTCTGCTGGGACAGCGGCGGGGATCAATTCTCTGCGAACTAATCACACCACACTTTTATGAGATACTTTCAAATCCATGCACAAATATTATGATATATATTATAATGTTATTATTATTATTATTATTATTATTATTATTATTATTACAAGCTTTTTTTTTTTTTTTGCTTTTGCAGAACATTAAACTGACCTAAACCACTGCAAATAAGCCGCGATCTGCCTGACATGTCTTTGGTTTTCTTGCTTCATGATTGAACCGCAGCTTGATGCTTATTATAATGAAACAACAATTGATTTGAATAAAGCTCGAGTTCATCAAACACGTCTCCAGCCTATATTGGACAGAAATTGCCGTGGGATGTTTTCCCCTGAGTTGAAGTAAAATGAGTCATTAATCAATAATAATCAGCAGTAATTAGCATACATTATCTGTATATTAGGGAGTTTGTCTTGCCATCACGAGGCGAGGAGGTTAATTTTATTGGCTTTACAGAATGCAAGGAAGCGTGTGAAGTGTCAAGAGGCCACCATATTACAGACATGTAAGATTTTCATTAGCCTATGTCTAAAAAATCCCTAAAACATAGTTAATTATGTATTTAGTTGGAATACAGAATCAACAGTTACATTTTAAAGACACAAGCTCCACGGCCTTGCGCAGAGGTAAGAGTGGCGAAAAAAAGAGGAACGGGGTCGATAAACAAATAATAAATTATGTGTACAAAGGTTTTGTTTATTCCCTGGTGTCTGAAGGGAACGTGGCGACAAGCCATCAATAATCCATTAATCGATTGTTTCTGTCGATGCAGCGTCCTTCACCCAGCTTCAGTCAGAGGAGAACTGAAAAAAACCAGAACTTTCCCAGTTTGTCGAATTTATTTCCATCAGCCGCCAGAGACAGTTCAGGCCAGGCCTCTGAATATTTCTTGCACATCGGGTTGGACAAATGATTTCACATGGTGCAACACCTTTTTAAAAGGAGCAATTAACTGTGATTACGCTTGCAAAGAAAAGTGTTGCTCTCCGACACTGGCCCGTTGGGGAATACTTTTCTGCGTCATTAAAACGTCGACCTTTAACGGGTTTGTGGAAACGTAGAACGGCTGCGCGGAGGAACCTCGGAGTACTTGCGTTCCAGAAATGTGGCTCCCCCCCCCCTTTTGTCCTGCGGCTGCATGCTTGGAGGCAACGCAGGAAGGCTGCACCGCCAGCTCCGACCCCGGAAGAGAGGTGCGCTGCGGCACTTGTGTTCAATCATCTACACAGGGTCCCTCTCTGTTTCATTAATCCCCTCAATTAGGCAGAAGAGAGGCAGATTCATAATCAGCTGAAAGTGACAACAAACAAACAAAGACAATTCAAAATAGTACGGTCGGTTTAAATAAAACGCACAGAGTAGGGCATTTAGTTCAGCTTTTAAGGTTATTTCATTGTATTTTCTTTATTTTTTTAAACCGGTAACAGCTTAACTGCGCTTATAAAGGACACACTGCGACCTCTGCAGCAGGTTATCTGCACCTATAGCCAACACTTCCTCAGAGGACATTGTTTGTATGTGGAGGTATTGTCTCCACGTCTCCTATATCACATAGCCTAACAGAACAGGCCCTTACGCCTGCACCGAGTGTGTTTCTTATTGTTTGGCGAGTTCTACTATGTATACATGACACAATTTTTAGTAAGTCGGTTCAGTTTCCTTAATCGCATCTTGTTGAAGTAATGACGTCTTCACGTCACCTGAATTGACAGGCCTTTAGCCTAACTAAAAATGAACAAGTTCACATTTTCTATGCTTTTTCTTGCCATACAATATTTAAGGTTTTAAATTTTATATTTAGGCCTACAAAAGTTTATAACACTGCGGACTGGTGTGGTCAGGCTGCGGTGACTGTACACCCCTCCCACCCACCTACTCGCGCGCGCGCGCGCACACACACACGCACACACACACACACACACACACACACACAGGCGGTTGAAACTCAAGCTTTATCCACGGTGGAAAAGGCTCCGGGTCTCTGGATTAGACGTTACGCGCAGATAACATCAGCGCACATTAGATATGTGAAATGGAGCACCTCGCGATCTGGCCTGCGGATGAGGCGGGCCGGGGGACATCAAAAAGCCGCAGCGGGTCCCTTTGTGAGCGCTGTGAGCATTGTAAATTTGCTAACTGTAATTCTGCCACAGTCGATGTAATGGGAGAGTAAACATGGTAACTCGCTGCGGCAGGGCGCAGGGACTTGCGTGGAGGCACGCGCTCATGCACGCAGGTAGGTACACACACCAGGCCTACTGTACGCGGTATGACGTGACCCGCTGCAGCAGGAGGGAACAATGATAATTTTGTCATCTCAGACAAGAGAAATGATAAACACAATCACCTCCACCAACACAGTTTTTTTCTTTCTCTGGGAGATCGATAAATAGGCTATAAATTCCCCCAAGACACCAGCGCCTGATCATTTAGGAAAAAAACAGTTTCCCTTTCTAAAATGTTAGTTTGGAGGCAGCTCCCTCATGTCCTCTAATGAAGTCACCAGAAGCGGTCATAGTGTAGTGGCCTTGGTAATTATTAGCCATTAATTGGGTTCAGGACCTTGTGAGTCTAAGGGAAATGGGAAATCTGACCGCTAATCCAAGACGATTCTTTGGGGCCTTTTGCAGTGTTGTTAACATGCTGTCAGAGGCGGACGGGCGCTGCGCTACAGCTACTGATAGCAGGAATATGGAGAGGTTAGAGGGCAGCGACTGTGCAGATACACAAACGCTGCAGGAGGCCTGCACCAGAGCGCAGTTCCTAACTGGCTGCACAATATCTGGAGAGATGAGATGAGATGTTAAAAAAAAAAAAAAAAAACTCAAATAGAAACGCTTCTAATAAGCCTATATGTGTGCGTCCTGGAGTGCGGGTTAGTGGTTAATTAGACAGACTGGTGGTTTTGTAATTACTTGATGAAATTTACAGTTTGCAACAATTTATGTAAACGAACCTGAATCTATTGATTCAAATATTTTGGTTAAAAAAATTTATCCGTAACTCTTAAAATAATAGGCTATATTTTTCTTGATCAATTAGCACCACAAACCTATAGCAACATATAACGGGTTAATTTTTTCTTTCTTGATAGTTTGATTGTGTCAATTCAGTAATTCATGAAACATGCATTTAGCTGCCAGTTCAGTTAAAACACCGCTGACTCACTGCCTGCTATAGACCCGGCCAAAACCAAACACCAATACATTTAATCATTTTCATTTTCCATTTGAGCCTGAAAAAAATGATTTG